GCTGTGGGACAGGAGCTCCAGCAGGTTGGAAAACTCACAGGCTGTCACCAAACTGCTCCTGGATCAGTGGAAGAAGTCGGACTTTGAGGATGTTCTCAGTGTGTCGAGCCCACAAACTGAGGGCAGCTGTGAGGAGCCGAGGCTCTGATGAAGGAGAACTTTGATGGTCCCTCACAGAAATGAACTAAAAACTGAAGAAACTGAAACTTCATGTCTGCACGTCGCAGATTTGCTGAAGCTCACGTCTGACTCTCCTCACGACCCCACAGCCACGTCGTTATGAAGGAGATCAGCATTTCCTGTTAGTACAGGAAGTGAGGTCAGAGCTCTGAACTTGAAACTGTTTTTATTCCTACTCTATTTCCTAACTGACCCTTTTCCTTATTGACTTTTACTGATGATTAACCTGTGAACTTCTTACTCATTTTACTGATGACTTCAGCATGCCAGTGCAGCAACACAAAGAAGCTGCTGCCTTCAGTTATCACTGATGGCAGCAGGAGGCGCTGTTCTTCCACCTGAGGAGACGTGTGTGTGTGTGTGTGTGTGTGTGTGTGTGTGTGTGGGGGGGGGGAATCTATTTTTGGAGACAGAGGACAAACGGACAGCAGCTGGGGGATTTCAGACAGGAAACAGAGCCGATGCTTCAATTGATCCCAGCAGATCAGCTGAGTGTGTAAAAGTAGCAACAGCAGTAATAACAGTTGTGTTTTAACTCCTGATGTAAGCGGACCCAGGAGCAGTGAGGATGATGACGGTGTGAGTGTGCTTTGAAGCCCCTTCTGAGAAGCAATCAGAGACAGGGGGGAGGAAGAACTCCTCTTTAACATGAAGAGTTCTCCAACAGAACCAGGATCAAGGAGGAGCAGCTGCTCTATGAGAGACTGAGCGAGTCGTCCACTAGTGAGAGCACACAGTGAGCAGGAGCAACGTCTCCGAGAACCACGGCCAGCGAACGCATCGCTGCATCCACACAGGAAGCTCGTCTGTCTCGTGAAGAAGGTCCAGACCTGCAAACATCTGGAGCTTTATGAGGAACAGCTGCAGCGTGCGGAGATCAGCTGACTTTATAAAACAAACACACGATTACTATCAAGATAACAGCTTGCTGCCATGGCAACGCTATCACTTTGATCTGCAATGTGATCGCGGTTACAGCGTGTGTGTGTGTGTGTGTGTGT